AAAAATCTCTCCAAAACAAAACAAAACAAAACAAAAACAACTTTCTTCCATGAAAGAGAAAGAGTATCATCACCCTCAACAAGACCTTGACTGTGATTCACCCCAAGCTTGATAGCCGGTCTTGCACCATGGACACACACACGCGCACCATGTTCAAGGACATCTCTACATGGGAACCTGGAACCTTCCCATGTGGTCAGCCTTGCAGAGTATCACATCTTACTGCTGTGCCACAGTTTGAGCCCTATTTTAAACAAATTTCAAGCAAAATTTTAGCCATTTAAGGCCGGCCTGCTGTGTATCTCCTGCCAAACTACATCCAACATATGCTGGCAACTGTAAGAGCCTAGTGATTATGAAACTCTGGCCACTCTTGCCCTTCCTCCCCACAGTGCTGCTAGACGCAGGAGCTCCCTCTCTGATCTGCCCCTCCTGGGGCTGGAAGGGGGCTTGCTCCATTTCTGAGTAGGAAGGGGTGAAGCCTCTGGACAGACTCCAACTGTGGGATAACCTCCCTCCCCCAGGCAAACCTGTCAGCCTGTCACCATCCTAAAACGTGTGCTCTGCCACCACTCATGGCTACATCTTTTTCTTTGATGAGTCCTAAATCTTCTAAACACCCAAGGGAGCAAGTGTGGACAAGAAGAGGCAGTGGCACGGCTGAGCCCTGGGGCATGCCGAAGTTGGAGATGAGGAGGAGCCAGTAGGAGATGTAAAGGCCAGGTGGGGGGAGGGAAGTCACGAGATGCCGGTGTCCTAGAAACCAAGTGAGGAACACTAGCAGGGAGAGCAGTGGGTGGTGTTGATGGTGCTGACAGGTCTTACAGATCTAGAAGGAGCTCTGGATCCCACATTGTAATTGTGTTTGTTGCTGCTCGTTCCAAATCAGCTCCCCACTGTGTCTGCTGCAAAGTGGGGTTCTCCTGCTCCTCTGGGCCACAAGCCCTCACTTTACTGAAGTCTTTTTCAGTCCCGTTTCTTTTTTTATTTTTCTAAGAGAGTTTTTCTATAAGCCAGCATGCTGGTTGGACAGAAAGTGAGAGATCACCCCACAGGAGTGATCACCTCCCTTCTCCTCTATTCTCTTGGGATTTTGGGCACACATGCATATGTGCCTGGTGTGAATTTCAAGCCACCGGGTCTGGGACTTGAACTGTGGTTGGCCATGTGGGAGTCCAGTGCCTTAACCACTATACCACTTGTTGGCGTCCATTAGTCCTATTTCTTAAGCAGCTAGGTAGCAAAGATTTATAGGATCTGAGGCCACAGATCTCTATGACAACTATTCAAAGCTGACCACACAGTAAACAAGTTAGCATGGCTGTGTTCCTGAGATGAGTTTGAATTTCATGTAATTTTCACATGCCACAAAACTATTATTAATATCTCTCAACTTCTCCTAACTCTTTAGAAATAGAAAAGCCGTAATTTTTAGCTTTCATGCTACATACAAACTGGCAGTGAGCCAGCTCTGGCCTGCTGGCTGCCATGTGCTGGCCCCTGATTTAAATCAGATTTAAATCAATCATACTCTTTATTTCTGACTCTTCTTTTCCTTGACTGCCACTATCTGACTTTAGATCAGATGTAGCTCTTACTTCCTGTCACTCATGGGTGGTGGAACCAACTCTGAGAGGCTACTTTACCCACCTGAGTTCTGGAGGAAAATTACTCCCAGAAAGTAAATGACTCCTGCTATCAAACAATTCCTCTATCCTCTGGATTAATGTCTCCAGTTTACTGGTTCAGAACAACATGAAGTGGATCAGGACCAAACAAGTCACGGCTTCAGGGCCCACCCGCATTTCCAATCTTTCTCTAGACTTTGTTATCTTTCTATCAAGATAAAAATGAAACATCAAAATCTTTCCAGTCTTTAATATTTTAACAAAATGCCAAAAGCCAAGATTATTAATGAAACTGTAAAAAAGGCAAAAAAAAAAAAGGGAGGTTGGGGAGGAAAGGTAGTGGAGTGGAGAAGGGTGGTACAAGATATTAATTTCCTAGGTTTCAAATATGTTTGCCCTTCTTTATAAAACTCAGAAAACTGTGTCTAATAAACATTAATAGGGTAGTTAACAGTTTATCAGTTGCTTTTTAAGTAGCCATCTAGGGACTCACATCTCTGGCCAATGACCTGCACTACATAGTTAAGTCCAAGGAAAATCTGTAATCATCTTTACAAAAATTAATACTAGCCTACGGCAACATTATTCAGGTGAAGGTATTAGATACACTCTGGTTCTTTTCAGTACTGCACTTAAATGCATTACCAAATCAAGAATACTTAAAGTATGGTGAATATTGATCAGATTTTTAGGACATACTCTTTAGTATCTAGTATTGCTGTTGCAATATTTATAAGCAATGCTTTAAAACAAAATGCAGACTCCCTTTTTCAAAATTTTGTATGTATAAAAAAGACTATTTTTTACTTTTCCGTATATGACCAATAAATAAATGATCGCCCAATAAAATTTGCTTCATACAATTTTCACATACATCTTTTCCTCTTTTAAATTTTTGCCAGAGGACATATGTGCTCATTAGGAGACAGAGAAAGGGAAAAAGCATCCTCTAATACACAGAGAATTGTCACACTGCATTCTCTTCTCCATTTCTTCCTCCTTTCAGGATTTTGGGCACACGCACATGCACCCAGCATGTTCTTAAGCACCAGGTCTGAGACGTGAACCACACCATCAGCCATGTGGAATCCAGCTGTCTTAATCACCACACCACTATCCCTTTGTGTGCATCTAAACTTAAAAACACCCTTTGGTAGGTTCCAGGACATTGCCAACTACTCTAATCCAATGGGGGAAAATATAAATATCACAAAATGACCGTTATTTTATAGGATCAACAGATGGAGTAATGGTTACATTGCTGGACTCCTACACAATGGACCACGGTTCGAGTCCTGGACTTGGTAACTTAGATCTCACGCCAAGAGTATGCATATGTGCCCAAAATCCTGAGGAAAATGGAGAGGGGACTACGGTGTGGCCATCCCTTCTGGGGCGTAATTTCTCACTTTCTGTCTCTCTGGTGAGCACACTTGCCCTATTGCAAAAATCTCTTTAAAAAAACAAAACAAAACAAAAAACGAGATGATCTTTATTTTTTACTTATTGCCACTCACTAAGGTGCTGTTGCACACAACATGCCCAGTGGCTGATGTCCAGAAGTCAGAAAATCTGCTCTGAAGATGAACATCCACTTATAAGACAGACATGCTGCATTTACTGCCCCGGGATGTGGTTGCACAGCAGTGGTTTTCAGTGGTCCTCAAGCAGCATCTACAACAGACACTGACTAGACACGCAGATCCTCTGCCTCACCTCAGACCTACTAACAGGAAACCCGGGGTGGATGGTCCAATCCCCCATGTTTAATAAGCCCTCCAGCAGATTCTAAGTTTGCAAACACCAAGTTTATGAACCATTGAATGAAATGAGCTGTATTCAAAGACCAAGTAGATTCTATGAATGAGAGAAAAAAAACACCAGTTCTACAAATCATTTGCAAAAGCAGCTACACAGGCACATAGGTCCTTGGTCGCCCACACCCGACTTCTCCCTTAAAAGACCAGAACAAAGCATTTGCGGAATGGAATGGGACTTGGAAACTGGCTAAGTCCTAAGCAGGAGGTAGCTCTAACATGGGGACAGGTGGAGACAGCCACTACTGAATCTAGACCGTGCACACAGGTAGGTTTTCTCCCTAATCAAGCTTGGCTGGCTGTGCATGGGTGACATGCACCATGTTCACTGAGGTGCCAAGACAGGCGAGTCCTGTACCTCAGACAGACCGCTTGTTCCAATCAGCTGAAAAGCCAGTCAATGCAGCATCACTGACTGCCTCATTCATGTTAGTTACATGGGTCATAGTAGGAAACACTTTTATTCTTCAAAAGCAATTGTTTATTAAGAGAATCAAAACTGTACTTGTTGGTAGTCACACTGGCCATTACCAGAACTGTACGTGTTATTAGGAAAAAATAAATTACCTTTTTTCCTAAGATGAGATGCTCTTCGCTGGATGATACACATCTACTCCATGATGGTATGATCAAGACATGAGTGTGTTCTAGTGAGCAAGAGACTCATCTCTCAGAAGGGCAGAGCCTTGGCTCACTCTAAATACTTTCTTCATTGCAGTAGCGGGTTGAGTCATTTGATTATAGCTTTTCAGGGTTTAGACAGGCTAACCACTTAATCATGCCTGAACTCTTCAGATCAACAATAATCACCAAGAAAGGCACTTTGTAATACATTGGACAAGGAGTAACACTAATGCAGTGAGAACTGGTCTAAGTCCTAAATGAAACTTTGCTATAGTTCATGTAGATAATATATTGTCTCTCTCGTGTGTGTGTGTGTGTGTGTGTATGTGTGCATATTTATATACTCACATAGATAGTACATTCTCTGTCTCCATGAGTATATGTGTACATATATAAGTATATATGTATATGTAAATAACATGTATATACACATATACGTGTGTGTACCCACAAGTCACTGGGGAGGGAAAAGAACATTTCTGTTTCTTGACTACTATGCAAAAATTCTAGTCACTTTATTTGGAACAAGGAATAAGATTGGCAAATAAATGCAAAAAAGTACCCTACTACTAAACCTTTCTACAAGAAAAAAAGGGGGGTGGGCAATAAAATAAATACTCAACTTTTCTGGGTTGCTGACTATTAAAATAAAACCCCGCATTAAAAAAAAAAAAAAAGCCTATTCCACTGCAGGGAACGGGGTGGATGTTTTTGGTACCGCAAATCTCACACATGCACACATCCGTATTGCTTCGCTTGAAGAGATGGAATAAACAGAGAAAGTTTCTTCCACAAAGTCCTCCTTTCAGGACTCACCAGGTTTTAGCTGTGCTGTGTTATTCCACTTAGCTTAAAATATCAACACATACATTCTTGTATAAATACATGTGTAGGATGTTGAAATTCTCCAGAAAGTCAGAAGTACTTGGAGGATTTTTGTTAAATAAACAAAACTGGTCACATCAATGGACTGCATACCTCGGAGTTAAGGCGTGACAGACCAACCCCATCAGTGTCAGAGGTGAAAAAAGGTTCATTCCTCCTTCCCAGAAATAGGTGAATAGAATGTTCTTATTTTTAGGATGCGAAGAACAATTAGTAATGACACTTAAAGTTTAATTACTAACTGTGTAACGCCTGAGAACAAAAATCAAAGCCATTCTTAAAGGGTTAAGAATCGGACCCCGAGCATTTCTGTTTCTTAGCTGCCGGCTCCTCGGTCTTGCATGACTCTAAAGTGCTCACGTTCGATTTGAGGCTGGTGTCTGCTTTAAGGGTGTCCATGGCAACAGTGAAGCCTGAGAGGAGGTACCCCCCACCTCCACTCATTAGCAGTTTGGGATGACTTCGATCTGGCAGAACCTAATCAAGACAGAAAAACAGACATCTGTTTTCCCAGGCTGATAAAGCACACGTTAATGGCACACATGACAAAACCCAGAATTTAAAAAACACATTCTTCTAAAGATTTAAATAGACTAACTGCTGAAGAGCTCACTCCTTCACAAGGTAGTACAAAGAAAAATGTAGAAATTGGTTTAGGTGACTTTCTTTTAAAAATTAAACCAAAGCCCTGCTTCTCATAAATGTGAAGCACATTTCTGGGGGAGGACAGGCAAATGGTTTGTGCAGCTTTCTTCCCCTTGGCCGCAGGCAGGTACATGGCCAACAAGGGAGCTTGGGTCTATGGACAAGTAGCCGCTGGACACTCAGAACCTTTCACTGCTCCCATCAGACCCCAGTAAGTATCCTCGCCTGTTACCCTAGCTAAATAAGACATCGCCATGAAGGGCAGGGTTACCTAAAGCTGAACGATGTCTCTACCACAGTGTAAGATGTCCCAGCACCAGGCAGGGCCTGTGGCAGCATGAGTGTGTGCCCCTCAGATCTCCCTTCATGAGGGAACTGGCCACAAAGTGTCCAGGAAGTCAAAAGCCTCCAGCTGACACTCCTCTGGGATCTGCGCAGTATTGCTGCTGAGGGAGGCCGTGGGCTGCTCGCACTCCATAATTGAGCATGGGTACCAGGACTGGACCGTTGCTGCCCAACTCACAGTTCCTGTGGGGCACTCTTTGCTCCCGGGCTCCCCCTCGGCCTGGCTGAGACATTGTTGAGCGGTACTGCAGGCTCACCCTCTAGGCTCCTTCCTCTGCCCGTGCCTTTCAGAGGCATCAACCTGCACCACCTCATCCTGCTCCCTCTCCTCTTAGCTTTCGAAGGCATTTCCCCCAATACATTTTTTTAAAGAGATTTTTGCCATAGGGCACGTGTACTCGAGAGGGGGAGCAGAGAAAGAGAGAGAGACAGACAGTGAGAAATCCCTTCTTCATTCTCCCGGGATGTTGGGCATGCACGCACACACACCCAATGTGATTTTCAAACCACCAGGTCTGGGACTGAAACTATAGTTGGCCAAATAGAAGTCCAGTGACGTAACGACTACGCCATCGGCTGGCCCCTTCCCCAATATATTTTTTACACTTCTATCTTGGTATGTATTCCAGAAGACCTGAAGTGAAATAAAGCCCACTTGTAAACCCTGTCCCAACAGAGACAAGAGGGCCACTTTCTTGTCCACTTGGGGATTTCACTATTAGCAATTTCACCCTCACAGTGATATCAAGGCTTAGAGACATACGCCCCACGACTGTTGGCATTTTGACTGCCTATGGGCTGAGGTTACAGAGTAATACATACACCCTGACATGAAGAGAAAGAAGGGTCAGGAAAGGCCAGGAGCACTTTCTCTGAATTATAGGCATGAGACTTTTCCATCTCTATAACAGAAATAGGAATATCTGTTAACAACCTTCAGTACTCCTTCAAGTCAGCAACTCGAGAGGCGGGCGCGGCAGGTGGCATGGTGGTTAAAGGCGTTGGATTCCCACATGGCCAACCGCAGTTGGAGTCCCGGACCTGGTGGCTTGAGGCTTGACTTCTCACTTTCCCTTTCTGTCTCTATCTGGTCAAATTTTAAAATACTAATAATATTAACAATAACAAATGGAATTAAAGAAATAAAGAAATAATCTTAAAAAAAAAAAAAAAAGAAGCTAGCAACTCAGAAGGCAACTCCTGGGACTGGCTGCAAGAACTCGTTCATACCTGGTAGTTTCTGAGCCAGGTTTCCGACAGCCTGAGGTTGATGACCCCTCCCCTCTCCCGTAGTTTCGTGTAGCATTCCAACAGGGGCTGAAGGCAAGAACAGAAAGAGTTCTGTTAGGAATTTCTTCTTGGGCTGTGGTCAGAGAATCAATATTCAGGTGTAAGAATCCTCGCCCTTCCTGTTCCTGCATTACCTCTTTATACTGACAGTAGGCCACGAACGGCCTGGACGGAGCCACAAAGTCCAGCAAAGACAATAGCAGTGGAGTCGGATGGAAACGGCTAGCTACGATTAAACTGCAAGAAAAACATTACATTATTCTTTTACCTGCCCCAAGTGCAGCCTAGGCCTTAAAATACATCAAATATGATCATATATTTGTTGCATGACTCACACAATGAAGAGATTTAAATACAACCTTCTAAAAATCCAAAACAGAGTAAAATGATGTGCTATTTTTTTCTAAAAACACAAACTGAGCTATAAACTCTCCAGGTGCTTGGCAAATCTAAGCAGCATCTAATGACATTCTAATTTTTTTTTTTTTTTTTTTGCTATAGGACACAAACACTTAGAGAGGGAAACTGAGAAATCACACACCAGGGGGGATGGCCACACTGTAATCCTTTCTCTTCCATTCTCCTCTCAGGATTTTGGGCATAAACACCCAGTGAGATTTTCAAGCCACCGGTCCAGGATCCAGTCTTTAACCATCATGCCACCTTCTGGCCCTATTTTTATTTATTTTTAATTCCCAGAAGATGCTCATCAGTGACGGAAATAGAAAGGAAGAAATCACCACCTCACATTAGGTATGGGTATGCTACAATGTTTTTTCCATTTCTCCATCCTGTTGGGATTTTTGGGCACTCATTCACGTATGCCCACATGCACATGTGCCCACATGTTTATCAAGACTCTGGGGCTGGGATTCAAACTGTGGTTGGCCATGTGGGATCCAACTCCTTTAACCATTAGCCTATGGGGCAGTCTAACATTCTTGATTACAAAAATAAGATCACCTTGAGGGACCAGCAGTTAGCGTAATGGCTATGTTGCTGGACTCCCACGTAGTCGACCATGGTTCGAGTCCCGGACCCGGCAGCTTAAACTCACGCCGGGTACATGTGCGTGCGTGCCCAAGATTCCAAGAGGAGAATGGAGGAGAAGGGATTGCGGCGTGGCCATCACCCCGGGGGTGATTTCTCACTTTCTGTCTCTCTCTGTCTGTCTGGCGAGCGCACGCGCCCTATAGCAAAAACCTCTCCAACAACAACAACAAAAAGAAATAAAACAAGTAAGATCACCTTGAGGCCACAGGTGGCATGGTGGTTAGGGGTGCTGTCTCACATGGCTGACTGTGGTTTGAGTCCTGGACCTGGCGGCTGGTTTGCTTTCTTTCTCTCTGTCTCTCGTCCCTCTCTGGTCAAATTTAAATAAATAAATAAATAAAATTTAAAAGATAAATAAAATAAAATCACCTGGAAAAAAATCCAACATAGCCCAGGCTGGTTTTACAGGTAGCAGAATCTATCTTTCCTTATCAGTTTGCATCAGCCCTTATAGCTAGTTAGTCCCGCAGGCATTTGAATCCCCCACCACCTGCACCTAGTAAGACTACACAGGTCCAACTGATCCAGCACAACTTCCCACCTTTGTTAGACCCAAGCCTCCTTTCTCCCAAAATCCAAGATAGACTAGAATCGCAGGAGACAAGCAGAAAGAGAACCCATGTGCATGCAACCCATTTGAAGCAGAGCCCACAAACAACAGGAAGCCTCCTGAATTCTCTCATCAACGCACCCATCGGCATTTCGTTCACTCAGCAGAGCAGCGGCTTCTAAATGTCTTTTCCTTTGTTCTTCTTGTCTCCTTTGTTTTTCCTGAATCTTCAAGAAGAAAAATAGAAAACCAATTTACTGAGTTCAGAGATAATTTTTGTCAAGATTTATTGAACTTTGTTATTAGTACATTATTTTTTAAGAGATTTTGATATAGGACATGTGTGCTCACTGGAGAGACAGAGATAGAAAGTGAGAAATCACACCTGGGTGGATGGCCATGCTGCAATCCCTTCTCCTCCAGGGATTTTGGGCATACACGCATACAAGCCTGGAATGTGTTTCAAGCCTCCAGGTCTGTGACTAGAACAGTGGTAGGCTATGTGAGGGTCCAGTGCATTAACCACTATGCCATCTGCTGGCTCCTATATGTTATTTTAAAAATTTTCTATAGGACACTGTTCTCACCAGAGAGAGATGGAGAGAGAGACAGAGAAAGTGAGAAAGCAAGCTGCCAGATCTAGGACTCAAACCATAGTCAGTCATGTGGGAGTCCAGTGCTTTAACTATCATGTCACTAGCTGGTCCCCATAATGAGATATCTTGAAGACAGAACCCTTATCAAAACATAAAATTCAGGGACCAGCAGTTAGCGTAATGGCTATGTCGCTGGACTCCCACGTAGTCGACCGCGGTTCGAGTCCTAGAACCGGTGGCTTAAAAACTCACACCGGGCGCGTGTGCGTACGTGCCCAAGATCCCAAGAGGAGAATGGAGGAGAAGGGATTGTGGCGTGGCCATCCCCCCAGGGGGTGATTTCTCACTTTCTGTCTCTCTGTCTCTGTCTGGTGAGCACCCGTGCCCTATAGTGAAAACCTCTCCAAAAAAAAGAAAAAAACGTAAAATTCATTCGTGTTTCATATATATCTCGCATGAGACCTTTTTTTGCATTAATTCTGTATTGTGTCATTTTGATGGTGACCTGTCATGTGAGGTCAGGTGTGGAATTTTCCATTTGTAACTTCATGTTAGCACTGAGAAAGTTTCAGATTTTCGAGCATTTCAAGTTTTGAATTTTCAGATTAATGATGTTCAACCTGCATGGTAAGACCATCATTAAATGGCATCCTAAAGATTAAATCATACATGCAGATAATTGCACACGTGTATTCTTTCTTCAACTGAGGATATTTATCATCCCAGAAGCTGATGCTACAATGCCAAACCAAATTCCATTACTTAAATGAAGTTAACTGAGGCCTGAGGAAAACATCATGAGGGTAATGGGGCCTCTTGACATTCTTACATAATCTTTTTTGCTTCCTTTCTCTTTAGGCTCCTTATATTCTGGATCTTGAGAAACAATTTCCATGTGTTCTTGTTCTTCTGGGGCCTCTGCCATGCTGTCTTCATTCTCCTGCTCAGAAGTCTGTTTTTCCTCCAGTGCACCATTACTTTCCTCAACCGAAGCACTATCTTTGGGCTCTGAAGATAACATCTCAGCAGAAAATGTGCCATTTAGAAGGCTGTCCACTTTGTTGAGGGGGAATTCATAAAGACCACTGAGGAAAGATTTGGGAAATCCAAAACAAGCTGTTGCTGCCCGAACAGGCCCGCCTCCAGGATACAGCTGAATAATAGAGCCAAAACCTGAACAGATAAAAGAAACATCTGTATGATGGGGGTGACCCCGGACTATGAAGACCCTCAGAGAGTCCTCCACAGTAAACAAGGTGAAGGTCTCTCCACCTGAATCTATTGAGACAGAGGGATGATGCGGTGTCTCTGGGGGTCCACTGGGAGTCCACAAATAGAGGGAGGAAATATGAGAGGTTTTCAAGAAGTTTATAGAAAATATTTAAGAAAAACTGTGCATGGATTTCAAACTTTATTGAACCAAAATAAACTCGTACTTTGATTCCATTTTTCCATGAATATCTTGAAGTCCCTTTGTATCATTCCAATACATAAAGGGGAAGTCTTAGACACTTGCCCCCAAAATGACACCACTAAAACCGCTATAATTGTGCACATTTGAATGTTGCATGATTGGTGACTGACACTGCTTCTCCTGCTCCAACCCTCAGCTGGGGCCAGTATAAGTTCTTACCTCCTTCTATGGAGTCAGAGAAAGGACATCCAAATCAGACTGACAAATTCTTCTAGGACAACATACATCCCTAGTACTCTTCCCACTCAATCAATCCTTTCAGTTCAGGTCAATAAACCGAGTGCCAGCTACCCAAGAGTTTAGTGAAATCCCCTCTCTAGAGTCCCAGCCAGCCATAGGCTCCCGGATCATCCCTGTTGACAATGAAGGTGAAAGGCTAACCTCCATCTGGGACACTCACACAGCTTAAGCTGGAAGTGGCAGAGCGTGAAGGTTCACCCACGTCACTTCATTCATCGAAGTAACTCAATCAGCTTTCCATGAGCTTGAATTTTTAGACTCCGTCTTGACACATCAGTGTGGGATTTCCTTGAACTGAAAATGTTCCATCTTACCTCCCATTCGCTCCATCATTGCACCCAGCACCAAGCCCGCACATGTCTCCATCACAATCATTTTGTTGCCAGCACGGATATTCCCCAACGTCAACATCTGGGCTAGGGTATCGTATCTCATGTGGCTAAAGAAAAAAGGAATGATTCACTTATTTTTAGCTAAGTAAGGCCTGTTACCTTAATCATCATGTTCCAAGGTTTGTTTGTTTTATAAAAATTATATTGATAAGTTTACTGATTGCTTTGGAGGCGACAGAAAAAGGACTTACAATTTATGAGGTAGGAGGACACTTTATGCAGGTGAGCAAGTTTTTCATTTTACTTAAAATCATGATTTTCTTAAAGACATATTTTCCCCCAATTACACTTTTGAAAGGAAACAAAGCGTACTTAATTTTTCCAGGTTCTCTTGCATAATACATAATTGAAAGAATACGGGTAGATGGCTTCACTATAGTAATGATGGCTTCGTATCTGGGGATAAAAAAAAAACAACACCAATTTGAAAAAGTGGTTGAAAATATTTTTTACTAGCACATATTTACCTCAAATATATTTAAAACATTGAGATATTCAACCTTTTCAAATGAAAATTACTTACTTCTTTTTCTTCTTTTTTATATATTTATCTTGAGCAAATTCTGTCTTGTCTCGGAATGTTGTACTATTTTCAATTAACTGCTGAACTATTTCCTATAAGAAAGGGAGCAAGTAGATTTTCTGAAACTTTACTTTCACAATACAAGGTACTTGCAAGGTTTCTTACTCCAGAATGGATCCAAAGGTCTGAGTCTCCAGTCCTTTTCCACAAAAGTCCAAATAAATGAACTTTGTATTTCTATATTCTTTCTATATTCTACTTAGGATTTGTAATAAAATATAAGACTTCGTAACTCAGTTTAAACCAAGGTTAAAAGAACATAGGTATACCACGGAGAAGAAAGGTAAAGGAGACTGTTATTCTTGCTGAAAACAAGAATAACACTGGCTGAAAACATCACTAGTAATGAACAAAGTTAATCCCAATATGTACTGTTAACTAAATTCTCTACCACTGGCCTAGCAGTGGTAATTTGTGCTGCTAAGATGCTATACTCTGCAAGATGGAACAAGGGGGGTCCAAGTTCAATTCTAGCTTCAAACTAAAGGCCTGGTGCAGTGGCATATGCCCCAGCAACTCAGGGAAGCTGAGGCAGGAGGATTATGAGCTAGAGGCCGGCTGGGGCAACACAGTGAGACTCTGTCTAACAAAAGAGCCAGGTGTGGTGGTGCATACCTATGTCCTAGCTAGGAGACTGAAGCAGAAGGACTGGGACAGAATGAGACCCTGTCTTAAAAACTAAACAAAAACACGGGCTGGCCCAGTGGCCTAGTGGTTAGGGAAGCTGGATCCCACATGGCCAACAGTAGTTTGAATCCTGGTTCTGGTGGCTTGAAAAACATGCTGGGCATGTGTGCGTATTTCTCCAAATCTCAACAGGATGGAAAAATGGAGAAGGGATTTTGGTGTAATCATGCCCCACTGGAAGGTGCTTTCTTCCCCTGCCGGTCTCTCTCTGGAGAGTGCGCATGCCCCCAGCAATTAAAAACAAACAAAAACTCTACCCCAATATAATATTAATAATGTCATTCAATTATATTCCTGCATATATGCCATTAATTCATATTCCTGAAAATAAAATCTTTGATCTACTGAATTACATGCACATTTCAAAAAAAAAGGTATAAATTATTAGGCAAAAATCTGTTTTAAAAACCAACTTACTTAATACCAAACAAACAAAAATCCTTTTAATATTACCTCGCCTTTAATGCCCTTGTCCTTCAAAGCTTTTATGTCATCTTGAGTAAGTTTTTGAGATTTCCCATCATCAATTATATTTCGATTATCAATGCCTGCTTCTTTAGTCTCTAAAGAAAGAAATTGCTCAATGACATTTGTGATCTGAAATTATTTTACAGATATGATCTGAAGTTCATATCCACCCCATCAGCCACTCAAGTTTGGCCTTCTGGTCACTATCCTTTCTTGCCATGACTATTTCAAGCCTCTAAGTCACCTTCCTGCTCCCATCCTTTCCACAAGGATGTCAGAATGGTCTTTCTTAAAATGCAACTTGGTCCATCTACCCTGATGAGTAAAAAAAAACACACACTGGCTTCCCAAAGAATAAGAACACATTCCAAAGATGACCTGCCTCTCAGTAAGACTTTGCACTTGCACTTTGCCTAGAAGGCTCTTAGGACAGATCTGAATGGCTGGATCTTCTCTATCACTTAAGGCTCAACCAAGGCTTATTCTACCTCATTAGGTGCCAATGTGCCTACCCATTTTACCATCTTCATAGTGGACATCACCATCAGAAATTCTGCTGTTTGCTTGTTTACTTGATCATTTTTGGTGTTCCCCACAGGCTAGAACATTTTTTAAAAATAATTATTTAATTTTATTTGTTCTTTCATTTATCTTAATTTGACCAGAGGGAGAGACACAAAGAAAGAGAGAGGGAAAGTGAGAAAGCAAGCCATTAGGTGTAGGACTTGAACTGTGGTCAGCCATGTGGAAGTGTTCAGCACCTTAACCATCACGCCACATGCTGGCCCCCAGCAAGAACATTTTATAAGACAGTCTAATTGCATTGCCTAATCATGCCTGGCTGATCGTGTGTTACTTAATAAAATATGGATGTTAATTTAAAAGTAGCTAATTAGCTGGCTTGGGCCAAAACTTTAATAGTATTTATTTAGTTTTTAGTAGTTAAAGAGCTTATTTTATTCATAACATTTGTTTATAATTAGGAATATTGTTTTAATAAATACTTAACTATTTACTTCTGATTAGTAATATGAGCAGGACAAACAGGTGGCGTGGTGGTTAAGATGATGGACTCCAACACTGCTGACTGTGGTTTGAGTCCCAGACCTGGTGGCTTGCTTTCTCATTTCTCCCTCTCTCTCTCTCTGATGGATGCACATGCCCTGTAGCAAATTAAAAATAATATTAATAATAAACTATGCATGTGTGTATGTATGTATGTGTGTGTGTATGTACACACACACACACACACACATTAGCTAAACCTATAGTGCACTTACCACAGTTAAGGCATTGTTAAGATGTTACCATGAATCATAACACTGAACATTCACTACTACCTAGAAATTAAATATGCTTGTGGTCTCATTTTATGGATAGAGATATAAAAATTACAAAAATCAAATCACTTCTTCATGGTTACAGGGCATGTGATAAAGCTGACACTTAAACCTGACCACGTGAACTCAAAGCCAGACCTTTAAACCTCTACCTTATACACTAACTTGCAGGTGTTAACTTAACTTCTGGTCACTGAAAGGGTTCTACACATACTCTTGCAAGGAAGCAGCAGAAGCTCATGGAATTAGATGCCTGCCCAAGGTCAGACAGCCAGTTTGTGATAGACTGGAGTCAGAATCCAGGTTAGCTCACTGCCAGAGGAAGAACTTGTTTCATTCCACCAAGCTCCAGTTCTTAGACTATGAGTTCAGATTTCTTGGAATTAAATGGAGGTTGATGTGTTTCTGACTAGTCAGGTGGAGAGCATCTATTTCATATACCCAAAGTAGTGCACCTGAAGTAGGCTCCTCCTTCTTCTTCTTCTTGGGCTGAAGACTTCCTCCACTGGTCACTTCAAACGTGGTTCCGTAACTATGGCCAATGACATTATCCAGGTAGAACCACTGTTTTTCAAAAGTCACTTTTCTGGAGGAAGAAAAAGTAATCAATTCACTGAATTTCTTTAGTGTTCACTATAAAAAAGGCATTTTCATTCTAGATTATTTCAGATGCAGTCTCCATAGTGGATGTTCAGGAGCATCATTTTACAAACAGGCAAATGAACTAGAGAAAACTGGGCTGGGGCAGAGACATAAAATGAATAAAGAAACAACAAAAACACTGAATTCTGGAAGGAGCAAGCAGACAGAAAACATCCTTTTCGAGGGGCATCTGTCTGGCCCCACTTTGCACTCTCTTTCTACCAGGATGTCCAAACTCACAGCCACTGTAGCTTTCTTGAATAGCAGGTGCAGTTGCCAAGACTGCCAGGCCAGGGGCACGCAATGCACCCCTGCAACCTACACCAAAAAAAAAAAAAAAAAAAAAAAATCTCGAACTGAACAATCGTTGAGATGATAAGCTTTAACAAATTCCCTGGTCTTGTCTAACTGGCCAATTTATCTGGAAATTACCGAATTAAAGCAAATTATACTTACAAATAAACAGAACTGATATTTGACACATTTGGAAAAGGTGCCTAACACTGACAGTGCTTTACTGAGGACTAAGAAGCTTTAGGTTTTCCTGTTATCCTGCTTTTTGTCTTAGTGCAATTTAGAAGATAAAACCTCACAAAAACAGAAATCTTTCCTCTCAAAAGAATAAAGCTAAGATCTGTTGAATGTCAAGTGTGTGTGTGCGTGCGCATGCCAAGTATGTTTCCAACTTTTGGATTTTCTTTTTTTTTTGGTCAGAGGGCACGTGCACTTGCCAGAGACAGACAGAGATAGGAGGAGAGGAGGAGCAAGCACACCCACCGTGATCATGCTACAATCCCTTCTTCATCTCTTCCTCCTTTTGGAATTCCGGGCAAGCACACACATGTGCCCTGTGTGTTTCTCAAGCCATTGGGTCTGGGACTTGAACTGTGTGGTTGACCATGTGGGATCTGGCTGCCTTATCAACCAGGCCATGGGGCCAGTCCATACTTTTAAAATTTAATTCTCACAGTAATCCTGGGATGCTCTTTCCAGATGAGCAACCTGAACCCAGGAGAAGTATCTTATCTAAGATTCAGTTACAGATACTGGAGCTAGAGTTCAAATCTAGCTTTGTCTGACCTCAAAGCATAGAGTTCTTTCCACTATATTAGAGTCTGTCTCCACAAAGACCAAATGATCTTAGCAAGCAAGCCCCACCTGGCTTCAGGACATGGTCCGTATGCGCAGAACTCTGAATTCTGGGGAACACGTACTGGTTATTTCTGTTTGTGCTCCACCCATCTCCTTCTTTTTCTTGCTCTATGTCCCTGGAAGCTGACATGACAGAATGTATCACTACATCACCCAGGGTTCCTTGTCAAAGGCTTCCCACCACTGCTAGTCCCTGGGTGTATCAGCTCTCTTTACTAGTTCCCTAAGCCCTGCCACACATCTTTGTGTGTATACACGTCACATCTTCAGTAAATGTTACTTGAACCATCTGAGTGAAACCTACAGGATCCTAAGTGATCTAGATAATATCTTAACCTTTGCTCAGTTCCCAATTACTAGCCCATAATAGATATTCAAATTCGTGCTGGCTGGCAGCAGTGGTGTAGCGGTAACATGAGTATGATGCTGGACCCACAAGACTTGGTGTCTGGAAGTCTCCCTGCACACGTTGGGTACACATAAACACCAGTTTGGTAGGGGAGGAAGAGGGCGAACAATGGTATAGAGATCCCATTGTGGGTGCCTATCTCTTTCATGAAATAAATAAAACAAAATAAACTTAATTTTTTTTTTTTTTCTGAAATGAATACTCTCAGAAGTGGAAACTCAGCCCAGTTCAGATGTATAGTACCCATCCCCATCCTTCATGTACCTCAGGGTTAATCAAACAGTGGATCTGGGCTAGACTGGGCAGCCCCTGCCAACCTATGTGATGTTCAGAGAGGGGTACCACTCAAACCGACTGGTGTGGCAAAAGGTCATGGTCCAGTCAGAAAAACAGGCCCAGTGAGAGGGACACAGGGAAGGAGAAGGATTTGCAGTCTCTTTTTCGAGAGCCAGGACTGCTTCTCCCCAACCAGATGAGTGCACCCTGAAGGGCAAAGTGATGGGAAGTCTGGCCTGGCATGCAGCTGAGCTCAAAGGGTCATTTTCCAAGGAAAATGAAAACTTACAATATTACCCCCTATGGCTTCTACCAAGATGAGGAGTTGATGAAAAGTTTTGTTTTTTTTTTTTGTTTTGTTTTGTTTTGTTTTCTGCCAGAGGGTGCACGTGTTTGCCAGAGTAAAAGAGAGGTGATGGAAAGACAGAGAGAGAGAGAGAGAAGGAGAGAGTAAGGGGGAGAAAGCACCCCCCCCCACACACACACACCCAATGAGATGTGGTCACATTGCAATCCCTTCTCTTCCTTTTCTCCATCCTATCAGGATTTGGGGGCATGTTGGCATCTGGTGGTTTTTTTAAGCCTTTGGAGCCAGGAATGGAACTGTGGTCGTCCATGTGGAATTCAACTCCCTTAACCACCAGGCCATGGGGCTGGGATCTGATAAAAACTATTTCTAAATAATTGTCTAAGAAGTACATTTTAATACTGAAGATGTTGCTATCTCTCTGGTAATGAAAAATCTCATCTGAAAGAGCACATTGTTAGAAGCACATTTACACAATCACATTTGAAAATTAAGCACCTTATAAGATCAATATCAGAAAGAAAGTTTTACCTAAAAGGTCATTATTCAGAGAAGTAAGGTTGAGCTCATTCTTCAAACTATGTGCTCATAATCTAAGACCTTTGCTGCACTGTATAATACTGCAACTAAGAGCTTAAATAATTAGTACTGATAACCTCGAAAAAATATGTACTTGGACACAGTGCCAAATTCTAATGTAAAATTTCAAAAACAGGGGCTGGCAGGCAGTGTAGTGATTGAGGTGCTGGACTTCCACATGGCTGTCTGTGGTTCGAGTCCCAGACCTGGTGGCTTGCTTTCTAGTGCGCTCTCTATTTCTCTCCGGTCAAACTGAAAAAGGAGAATAATAAATAAAATTAAACAAATCGTTCTTTAAAAAAAAAAATGCCAAAAAGTGGGGCCAACATATGGCATAATGGTTGTTATTAGACTCCCGTGTAGTGACTGTGGTTTGAGTCATGGACCCAGAGCCTTAAAACTCATGCTGGGTGTGTGTGCGTGTGTGCTGAAAATCCCAAGAGGAGAATGGAAAAGGGACTGTAGCATAGCTATCCTCCTGAGGGTTGATTTCTCTTTTTTTGTCTCTGTCTCTCCAGTGAGTGCATGCACCCTATAGCAAAAATCTCTCTTAAGAAAACCTAAAAGAAAAAACTGGTATCAAAAATACAAAAGTATAGTAGTGATGAAGGACCATCACAAAAAAAAAAAATCTCTACTTTCAACCACCAAAATGAAACATTTTATCAATGGGAAACTTAAAAATGCTTATTAAAAGACTGTGCACATGTTACATTTCTGGACCAAAAGAAAAGAAACATTCTGGACTAAAATATACTCACTTCCTACATTTTTTCCCTTACCAAACTGGTGTTTATGCAAATATGCTTGGTTATCCCATCTGTTAGGCAACTTGGGAACTAGTAGCTTACCATTTTGTACTGATACCTGCTTCACTTTAAATACCAGTCTATAGTGCGCTTCAAACAGGAGTAAAGTAATTCATCTGAAGTGAGTACTTAATGGAAACTCCAAACCTTGTAATATGTAGGTTTGTGCTCTGCAGAAAGATGTTTTCCTGACATTGCATTCAATTTATTTGTCAAAAGTAATCTAATAACCCAGCTGAAAGGAAACTTGGTTGTCTTTCTCAGATAAGCTAACCTCAACATCACTATGCATTTTACCATTAGTAAGTCACTAGGATTTAATGGCGTATTATTCCCACCAGTTAAGATGCCCATTTCTCTGGTACTAAACCAGAGTGACAGTAGTCAGTAGATTCACAAACTAAACCTATTTTTGATTCTGGGGCCAATAAGCAAACTGTTCTCTTGGTGTAAAAGATAGAACCTCAGAACGATTCCAGACACTGTGGGAGATTGTGTCATTTCACTATTCATTGGAGACAGGTTTTCCCATTCTAGTAGGGAGAAGACCAGGGAAAGCAAGACTAGGTGAAAAAGATTCCTTTCTTCCTTCATCCCAACCCCTTTCCCTCCCTCCCTCCTTCCTTCCTTTTCTTTTCTATTGGTGGGGCTAATCCTGGCTGAGAAATTAAGGAGGAAGAAGGATTTACAGGAAAAGATGGCATCAGAAGGAGACTCTTAAAAGATAAGGATGAAATCCTAGTGCAAAGGTGGAAGGCTTGCCTGTGAGAAGATAAAAGACCTAAGGAAAGATCCCCGAGAGGCGAAGGGCAAGGGTAGTGGTGGAGAAGGAGGCATCTGCACACGCGAGGAACAAGAATGGAATTTTAGGAAGGGACTCTTGGAAGGAGTGGAAGGATGTTGAGGGCAGAGGTGGGCTCCATGGGAAAACGGGGCGGGTAGAGAATTGAGGGGCTGAGGACGGGATTCTGGTGGAAAAAGCCTCTGTGACAGTAAGACCCGAGAGGAGGCAACGAGGGTGAAGGATGGGGGACCCAGTGAGAGTGGGACCGAGGTGGGAGGGATCTGCAGGAAGCCGTGGAGGCAGAGTGTCTACCTAGTGGTGCCGAGGACCCCTGAAGCCAACGATCCGACTTACTTTCTCCGCTGGACTTGCACCGCTTTGAACACATCTTCCCGTTTCAGCACCACATAGTCGCCGTCGCGGATGCGGTGATCCCCGGGATGCGCTGGCTGTGGGCTCGGCTGATCCCCTGAGCCCTCCATGACGCTCAGCCGGTCTCTGGACTCCGGGATGTCCCTCCAGTCACGCGTGCCCCGCCCCAACTCCTCTGCTGTCGCAGGCGCCAACCTCAAGTCCCACGACCCGCGGGGACCCGGAGCCTTCGGACCGGCACCTCCCCCACGTGCCGCGCGCAGCTTCCGCTTTCCGGTCAGAACGGCCAGACCGCTTCCGGAAGCTTCACGGCTTCCGTCTGGCCGGACTCCTTGATTGGCTGCAGTCCGCCGCGCCCCTCCCGGCTCTCCCCACTCCTTGAACGGAAGTTGCGTCACGGAAGCGCCAAAAAGGAATTCCGAGGGAGACTGGACCTTAGCCGGGAGTGTAGTTGCCGCGCTTTTCGCTGTTGGTGTCTTCCTGGTTACGCGGTAGAAAGACAGGTTCCCGAGCCCAGGCGACAGACGAGATCCGGCCCTGCGGGAGAACGTCACAACTGCTGTGGAGCATCCGGAACCTGGCAGGGTCGCCCGAGGAACTCGGATCGCCGAGGCTCCTCTGTAGTCCCGTTTTGCTTGCCCCAGGGAGAGGGGTGGGAGAGTCAGCGTGCACCCCGGATCCGGCCTAGGAGTGCTTTCAGACGGTTGTCCCATGCAAGTAAGAACAGGTGGCCGATGGGTGGGTGCTGTACTTAAGCTGCACTCCTACTTACAGGCTGTGTTGGAATTGTTAGTAGTCTCACCGTGGTGTCTCCTGGAAGGAGCTCTTCAGCTTGGGACTCTGAAGGTGGAGTTTTGATTTGTCTGTATACTGTCATCAACAGCTTAGAGTTTGATCAATTTTCTTAACTTTTCTGAACTCTGTTAACGTAATATGTAATGTCTGGTTGAGTGTCAAAGTCTTGTCCTGCCCTTTAATCGTGAACGTTTTAATTACTGACTCCCTTACTGAGTCCCTTTAAATGAAGAGTAGGTCCCCTCATAATGAGTTGCATTACAGTGCATCGGTTATACAGTATTATTTACTTGTCCTAAAAATAAGATTTCTTTTTTGAAGTAGATTTTATTTTTTGTAGCAGTTTTAGGTTTGCAGAACAATTGCACAGAAACTGTAGAATTGACTGTAAGGTTGATATGTCCCTAGTGTCTTACAGGCCAGGATTGTGTTCAGCCAGCACTGTCCTACAATAAGTTTCAACTACTGCAGACAAGTTACCTTAGAGTTAATACCTGTCTTGTTTTTATTTCTATTGTGACATGTCCTTGAAAACAGGTACTGTTCTTTTTCTTGTTTTTATCCCATGAACAACTAGTATACGGAATTAATCAGTGGTAATCTATGAACGAATAACTACAGAATATTTGGTTTCATACCATAGTCTACAACTTCACAAGCCTGTTTCGTAGTCTTAAACCTAGAATACATTAATGTTTCCTTTTTCAATACATTAATAATTTTTTAGGAGCACTGTTTCCCTTACAGTTTTTAAAGAATTATCTTATTTAACTTTATTTATTATTTTAATTTGACCAGAGAAAGATAGAGTGAGAGAGAATGAGAGTCAGTTGGGGGGGGGGAGTGAGAAAGCCAGCCACCAGGTCTGATGGATGGTGTGTTTCTTCCGTATTCTTTTTTTTTTTTTTTTTGTGGGGGAGAGGTTTTTGTATAGGGTGCCTGTGCTCGCCAGACAGACAGAGAGAGACAGAGAGACAGAAAGCGAGAAATCACCCTCCAGGGCGGATGGCCACACCGCAATCCCTTCTCCTCCATTCTCCTCTCGGGATCTTGGGCATGCACACACACGTGCCCGGTGTGAGTTTTAAGCTACCAGGTCCGGGACACGAACCATGGTCAACTATGTGGGAGCCCAGCAACATAGCCATTATGCTAACTGCTGGTCCCTCCCTACAGTTTTAATGAAAAATGTTCTCATTTTTATCTTTTAGACGACATGAATGGAGCGTATCGAGGCAGAGGGTTTGGACGAGGAAGATTTCAAAGCTGGAAAAGAGGGAGAGGTAGTGGGAACTTCTCAGGAAAATGGAGAGAAAGAGAACACAGATCTGACTTGAGTAAAACCATCGGAAAACATATTTCTGGTAGGTGAGATCAATGATTAGTTTTTTTCTCTTTGGGAAGGGAAAAAATTATGCCTATTATTTAAAGTAGTTTAACTCAAAAGCCGATCTGTCTTTAATTTGATGTTACTTTTTAGCAAGTATTTGAATATTTAAACCTTAAATGCTTTATTTAAAAAAAGAATTATTTAATTTTATTTATTGTTATTTTTTAATTTGACCAGACAGAAAAGACAGGGGAGGGAGAAAGTAAGCCTCCAGGTCTAGAACTAGAACCATGGTTGGCCATGTTGGAGTCCAGCGATATAACTGCTCCACCATCTTCTGGCTCACCGAAACCTTTTTTTAGGGACTTTAATAATGTCATGTCAGGTTATCACTGTAGGAAGGAAAAGCAAATTAGGAAAAAAGAAAGTTGGCTTAGTTTCTACTAACCTAGTATTCTGTTTTTTTCCAGAACAAATCCCACAGTCTTCGCTACAACAGTCAACATTGGATCATTTTATACCATACAAAGGCTGGAAGCTTTATTTCTCTGAAGGTAAATTCAGAGTGCAAGAAGTACCATAGATCATATTTCCTTAATTTGTCTTTGGATGCTGTATTTCATACTACTGTAATTCATTTGGCTTACTGACATATACCCCCTTAACCTTAACAATGAAATCTATTTATGTTTCAGGAACATTATTGGTAGGTTTTGTATAAGGAGAGCAGAAACTACACTGTTTCAACAGGGAATTTAATATGGGCTATTGAGTATACACATAGAAGACTGAAACAGAGGAAAGGGAACATTGAGTAACCTCCAGAAAGTAGTAACTTTAGGGACAGCAAACTATCCCTATGGCTGAGGGAACAAGAAATCTGATGTTACCAGAACCTAGGAATTCAACAGGGAATGGGCTTTTATTTCTACCTCTGAAAAACTGAGCTTGGACCTCAAAGGGTGCCCTATGAGTCACCATACTCATTTTACTGAGGAGAATAAGGTGGGTTGCCACTGGTATCCAAGAAAGCGTGATGTACTTGGTGATTGGAGTTGGAGGTTAGGGGTAGAGATGCTGAAAAAGATCGGAAACAAAAATAAATTCCTTTCTTACTTCCTGTCACCTTCTGATCACTAAAGTGCCTCTAATTGGAGTCTGGGAAGTGTGAGCTACAGATCTCAATCATAACATCACAAAGTAGAAAACAGGACAGTAGGCTCAGAACCGAGAGGCAGTAATCAGCACAGGTTTGTGTATAGAATCACTCTTTGATAATGAAGAATATCAGGTAACTTACATCCATCTGTGTAGGTATAAGGCACGCGTCTTTTCTGTGCTCTCGTTTGTTATGTGTCTGATGGGGTATGGGTTTTGTTTTTGTTCTGTTTGTTTTTTTCCCACTAGATCATTGTGCTCCAGTCCAAGGACCCTCCCCTATTCCAAGCACTCAGTACTCAGGCATGAATGAATAAAGTACTTTACAAATGTTTTATATATTAGACGTCTGTTTTTGTTCTTTGCTTTTATCAAAGTAGATAGTTATTGAGTGCACATTAGATGATTGACTTCAAAAACACTTATTGTTCTAGGTGATCTTTTGTTACTTTAGGAAATGTTAGCCACCACTGGCATTATTTCCCCTAGCAGATGGTTCATAACTCTGTGCATGATGTCTTGGCTGGTCCTAAAATTGGAATTTGGAAGGTACCTTAGGCTTGAACAATTGTACTTCCAAACTACTTCACTGTACTGCTTTTTTTTTAATATATAAGGTCAATTTGAAAGTAATTATAGATCTGTAGAATTTATTAAAAAAATAAATAGGACCAGCTTTGTGGTTTGGTGGTTAAGGGAACCAGATCTCACGTGACTAACCCTGTAGTTTAACTCTCCACCCTGGCAGCTACAAAAATATGCCAGGTGCTTGTGTGCCCCGAATCCCAACAAGATGAAGACATGGAGGAGAACGGACTGTGTGTGACCATTCTCCACTGGGAGATTGAGGGGTGCTTTCTTCCCCTTCTCTCTCTCTCTCAGGCGAGTGCACATACCCTCTGGCAGAATTTTTTTAAAAAGAAGCTTTATAATTTTAGGACCAGAGTTAAGTATGGGCTGTCTCATAAGCAAGGAAGTATTTGACAGGTGGCAAGACTAGTAGGATTTACTTTCCAAAGACTGATTACTATCATTTCTATTTCATAATAAGAGCAGTTCATATATCTGACTTTAATTTTTAGTTTAAGCTTATGTAAGCTATTTGAACTAATCATCCTGTTAGAAGCCAAATACTCAGTATAGGGCAGCCCTATAGTGTAGTGGTTAAGTGCTGTGCATGTAGATTCTCCATGATCAGCCACAGTTTAATCCTAGGTCCTACAGCTTGAAAAACATACTGGAGAGGCTGGCAGATGGCATGGTGGTTAAGGGCACTGGACTCCCACATGGCTGATCATGGTTCTAGTCCTGGACCTGGTGGCTTGCTTTTTTACTTTCTCTTTCTCTTTCTCTCATCAAAAATAAATAAATAAATAAGCAAACAAACAAAGTTAAATAAAATAATTTTTTTAAAAAAGAAAAAGGACCAGCAGTTAGCCTAATGGCTATATCGCTGAACTCCCATGTAGCCGACCACGGTTTGATTCCTGGTCCCAGTGGCTTAAACTCACACTGGGCGCGTGTGCATGCGTGTCCAAGATCCCTAGAGGAGAATGGAGGAGAAGGGATTGCGGTGTGGCCATCCCCCTCCCAGGGAGTGATTTCTCACTTTCTGTCTGTCTCTCTGTCTTTCTGGTGAGCTCATGCGCCCTATAGCAAAAACCTCTCCAAAAAAAAAAAAAAAGAAAGAAAAGAAAAGAAAAACATACTGGGCATGTGTGTGTGCATGCCCCAAATCCTGATGAAATGAGAACTGAAGGACAAAGTTTTCCAGATAATGGTGTTTTTAGGAGAGACACATTCTACCCATATTTTAAATTGTGCAGACTTGGGGCCAGCAGGTGGCATGGTGGTTGAAGGCACTCGACTCCCACATGACTGACTGTGGTTCAAACTCCAGACCTGGCGGCTTGCTTTCTCACTTTCTCTCTATCTCGCCCTCTCTGGTTAAATGAAAATACTTGAAATAAGTAAAATAAGGTAACTCTTTAAAAAAATAAATTATGCAGACTTAAAAACTTGTTTTAGAAACTTAGGTACACATTCTATACCAATTCTTATCTAAATGAAATCAGAATACAAAGTATTGGAAAAAAACCACTACCACATATGTAGTATTCTTCTGTCTCATGAGAAATGCTTGTACACGTGATCACTAGTACTAATGCCATATTTGTTGGGTTAGTTTACAGTGATAGCTCTCCGTTTATTGAGAAGATTCAAGCATTTGAAAAATTTTTCACAAGGCGTATTGATTTATATGATAAGGTAAGATTCCACTACAACAAATTTCCCTGTCCACTTTTACGTGCTGTCTAATGATGCATTTTAGTTCCTAGTGACTGATCGTAGGCACTGATGTCAGACGCCTTTGTTCAGGTCTCACCTCTGCAACCAGCCAGCAATGTGGACCTGCGGTGTGAACTGCTTACCTTCTCTGGGCCTCAGTTTTCTCATCTGCCAGTTGGAGATATTAGTATAAATACCTACCTCAAAGAGTTGTTAGGAGGCATAAATAAGTTAATACAGTTAAAATATTAGAATCATACTTGGCATAAAGCTTATGCTTACATGATGGTGCTTACCATTACCACTGTATAAATAGCAGATGCCTTCTCAAAGTATGTAATCGAATGCTCAGTTATGATGATTGACCTCAGAAACCAATTACTGTTTTCATGCTTTTATATTTTATAGGATGAGATAGAAAGAAAGGGAAGTGTTTTAGTGGACTTTCAAGAACTAGTAAAAGATGACGAAATAACTAACTTCTTGCCAGATATAGCACATGAACTAAGAGATGCTCCAGAGAAAATCTTGGCTTGCATGGGCCTGGCAATACATCAGGTAAATATTTATTTTGTGCAACCTTTTGTCCAAAATTGTATCGATTTTATTTTTTAAGTTTTTTATTCCTTATTCATGATAAAGTGTGTGCGTGTAAAATTGAGATAAATAAGTACCCTTCTTAAAGTCAGGTTTTGCCATGATCCCTCCCTCCAGACTTCAGCCCAGCAGATGTTAGGCCTTTGTACATGTGCCTAGCATATTTCAGCTGATCAGGGCAGGGGTTTGCCATGTGGGATCTGGCTTCTCTTGCACAATGCATTACTGCTATACCACAGAACTAACTGTGTCCAAATTTAAAACGAAAATTTCACAATCAAATCTTGTACTTTCTTTAAAAGATACGTAGCTCGGAACCAGCAGGTGGCATGGTGGTTAAGGTGCTGGACACTCCCACATGGCCGACCATGGTTCGAGTCCTGGACCTGGTGGCTTGCTTTCTTACTTGCCCCCCCCCCTCTGTGTCTCTCTCTGGTCAAGTTAAAAATAAATAAATGAATAAATAAAGTTTAAAAAAAAAGAATTACTAAACACAGTCTTTTTAAAAAAAAAAAAAAAAAAGATATTTAACTTTTACCAAAAGATCCTATCTAGGACTGAAAGCTTCCAATCCTGTCCTAAAAGATACCATTCATTCTATATACAACAAGTAATCTAAATATAACATCTACTTCTAATTTATTTGAATTAGTTTACTCTCATTAAAGATTGTGCAGAAATTGGGACCAGCCGTTGGCGTAATGGCTATCGCGCTGGACTCCCTCGTAGTTGACCGTGGTTCAAGTCCTGGACCTGGTGGCTTAAACTCACGCCAGGCTCATGTGCATGTGTGCCCAAGGTCCTGAGAGGAGAATGGAGGAGAAGGGATTGTGGCGTGGCCATCCGCCCTGGGGGGTGATTTTTGGCTTTCTGTCTCTCTGTATCTTTCTGATGAGCACACACACCCTATAGCAAAAACCTCTCCCAGGGAAAAAAAAAAAAAGATTGTGCAGAAATTAAACCTTGTTTTCTAGGAAGTGTATGCTTTTATAGGTAATATAAGACAAGACATCATGGTATTATTATCAGTTATGAACTTGGAACAAAGAGACCAACCTTAGACCTAAGTTCTGTGTCAGGAGACAAATCACTTAGTCTTCCTCAGTGTCTTCATATATAAATGGAAATAACAATATGACCGTGTAAGTTTTTTCTCAGGGTTAAGTGAGGGATATGGCATCTACAAATCTAAAAGTAGCAAAAATCCCAAGTAAATCACAATCTGGTATACAATCTAGTTATAATAATCAGATTTTTTTAGAGCTTATTAGAATTCTGTTCTGTTCATATTGTTTGATCCTGTACTAAACTTCATCTTTTCTATAAAAGAATTTTGCTTAAAGAGGCTATTTTTTGTTTTTCAACTTTTGGGTAAATGTTTGCCTCTTTAGGTGTTAACTAAGGACCTTGAAAGGCATGCAGCTGAATTACAAGCCCAAGAAGGGTTGTCCAGTGATGGAGAAACAATGGTAGATGTGCCTCACATTCATGCAAGGTGAGGAATTTGCTGGCATTAAGGTATTATTTAGGGTAGAGCATTGAGGACTGTTTAAAATGAGAACTTCATGTAACAAGGAAATCAATGAGATGGATGTCAGTTCCTTGCTTTCATTTTTTTTTTTCTTTTCTTTTTTTGGAGAAGTTTTTGCTATAGGGCACATGCGCTCGCCAGAAAGACAGAGACAGAGAGACAGAAAGCAAGAAATCACCCCCCAGGGGGGATGGTCACACTGCAATCCCTTCTCCTCCGTTCTCCTCTTGGGATCTTGGCCACACACGCACACGCGCCCAGCGTGAGTTTAAGCCACCGGGTCCAGTACTGGAACTGTGGTCGACTACATGGGAGTCTAGCAACATAGCCATTATGCTAACTGCTGGTGCCAGTTCCTTGCTTTCTTATTGATCATATTTCTAAAGTGAACCCACTGAAAATTATTCAAAGTGATCAAGGCAGAAATCAATATTTTCTGCTCAAATAAGGTAATTTTCCAACCTATAGATTTTTATAAACATTGGTTTGAGTTGTATGCTTATCAATATCCTGCTATATAAATTTAATAATTCATGTAATATACCAAGTGGTGTGTATTTTGTTTAATTATTGATTTCTGCTTGACACAAGCAATAAATAAAATTATTTTGTTTCCCTTGAATTTATCGTTACTATATTTTAAAGTTTAAAAGTCTTTAGAAGAGGGACCAGCAGATGGCGTAATGGTTACATGTTGCTGAACTCCCACATAATTGACAGCAATTTGAGTCGCGACCCAAGATCCTGAAAGGAGAATGAGGGAGAAGGAATTTTGGCTTAGCCATCCTCCCTAGGGGGTGATTTCTCCCTTTCTATCTCTCTGTTTCTCTCTCTCTGTCTGGCGAGCACATGTACCCTATAGCAAAAATCTCTCTCAAAAAAAAAAAATTCCTTAGAAGAGATAAATGAAGTAATCATGGTTTTGTATCTCTATTCTAGAATTTATAGATATTCCATAGCAGTTCTTTAAAAAGAATTGAAGCTGTTGAATCTGAAGGTAGCCTATGGAATAAGAAGGGAAGATTAAGCATTTTATATTTTTTTAAAGAATCATTTTTTATTTAGCTTTATTTGTTTATTTTAACTTGACCAGAGAGAGAGAGAGAGACAGAGAGACAGAGACAGAGAAAGAAAGTGAAAAGGCAAACCACCGGGTCTGGGAATCGAACCGCAGTCAGCCTGTGGGAGTCCAGTACCCTCAACCACCACGCCACCTGCCAGTTCCCAGCACTTTTTATTTTTAAGAATGATTTATATATCAGAATATATTATTTATATATTAGAATAAACAAAGGGATATATAAAGGAATAATGTAGCTTGAGAATTCTTTAGTCCTCATGAAAACTTTTAAAAATACAGACAATCTCAGCTTTCTGTTCATTGTAAGTCTGTAGGTAATGTGTTTTTATTTTGTTTTTAGGATCTATAACTATGAGCCTTTGACACAGCTCAAGAATGTCCGAGCAAATTACTATGGAAAATACATCGCTCTTAGAGGGACAGTAGTTCGTGTCAGTAATATAAAACCTCTTTGCACCAAGATGGCTTTTCTTTGTGCTGCATGTGGAGAAGTTCAGAGTTTTTCTCTTCCGGATGGAAAGTATAATCTTCCCACAAAGGTGATATAGTTTTTATTTATTTTCTTATCTTACTTTATTTTGATAAGGAAGGCAAGTCAATGTATAGAAAACAGTTCCCAATGTTTTTGAATACATTTTGAATAGGGCTTATTTTTAGTTTTAGTTTTTTCATTATGAAATATCAGAGTACAGAAAATGTATAAATAAATAAAATATTCTCTATCTCCCATCCAGAAAAATTACATTTTTCAATTCCAGATAGTAGTTTTAAAGATATAAAGCATTACTGACAATGTGTTTTAAAGATATAAAGCATTACATCAATGTGTTTTAGTTTACCTCTTGCCTGTACTATTCCCAAAGGTGATTGTTATTCTGAAGTTAATATGAATCTTTTCCATTCATATTTCTATATTTCGACTTCCTGGGTACATGAATCAAATTTTCTTTCCTGTAATTTTTCTACTCTTGGAAAGTGGTTTGTTTTGCCATTTTTTCTTTTTAACTTGTTTCTTAAACTATAGTTTTTGTTTTTGTTTTTGTTTTTTTGGAGAGATTTTCACTGTAGGGTGTGTGCGCTCGCCAGACAGACAGAGAGAGACATATAGACAGAAAGCGAGAAATCACCCCCCAGGGGGGATGGTCACGCCGCAGTCCCTTCTCCTCCATTCTCCTCTCGGGATCTTGGGCACGCACGCACACGCGCCCGGCGTGAGTTTTAAGCCACCGGGTCCGGGACCCGAACCGCGGTCGACTACGTGGGAGTCCAGCGACATAGCCATTACGCTAACTGCTGGTTCCCTGTTTTTGTTTTTTTAAGAGAGATTTTTGCTATAGGGCATGTGCACTTGCCAGAGAGACAGAGAGACAGAAAGCAAAAAATCATTCCCAAGGGGATGGCAACACTGCAGTCCCTTCTCTTTTATTCTCCTCTGGGGATTTTGGGCATGCACGCACATGCATCCGGCATCAGTTTTAAGCCACTGAATCCGACTCAAACTGCAGTTAACTACATGAGAGTCCAGCAACGTAACCATTACAACATCTGCTGGTCCCTAAACTATGGTTGAAAACTATAGAAAAGTACAAAGAATAATGTAATTAATGGCTACGTAGCTACCATTAGGAGTTGGCAAATTTTTTTTTTTTTGGAGAGGTTTTCGCTATAGGGTGCATACGCTCGCCAGACAGACAGAGAGAGACATATAGACAGAAAGCGAGAAATCCCCCCCCCCCCGGGGGATGGTCACGGAGCAATCCCTTCTCCTCCATTCTCCTCTCGGGATCTTGGGCACGCACGCACATGTGCCTGGCATGAGTTTTAAGCCACCGGGTCCAGTACTGGAACCGTGGTCGACTATGTGGGAGTCCAGCAACATAGCCATTACGGTAACTGCTGGTTCCCAGGAGTTGGCAAATATTAATATTTTATTATTTTAGCTTAACCTTCTAAGACAAAAAATATAAAACATTTAAGTCTCTCTGTTCCTGTCCCCAGTTCCTTTCCTTTTGTTCAGTCCCCAGAGGAAGCCATATCCTGATATTGGCATGTAGCTTCAAGTTGACATTTTTATTCTTGACCATAGGTTCCAGAAAGACTTGAGGGAAAATACTGTTGTAGTCATATATAGAAAATAGAATCTGCCACAATCTTTGAATTAATAAATGTATGAGATCCAAACACCAAATAAATGACTTACAAAAATGTAAACACAATTTCCTAATACATCAAGAACTGCCAGTGTACTGTAGTGAATATTGTGCTATAAAACAGTGCAGACGGAATCCTGGTAAGAGGTAGGGATTAAAGGTGACCTAGGACAGGCTTTTAAAAGGCAAGGACTAGGGCTGGGTAGGTGGGGTTGAATGAGAGAGGGGCATGCAAGGAGCAGGAGACTGCATGGGAATAGAGGAACTAATTCGAGCTTGGGTGAGAGGCAAGCAAGGAGCTTTGCTTACCTCCAGTAGAAGGAACAAGTGAGTGTAATGGAGGTACCAGCTCGAAAAGTGCCTCGAGAGCTCCTGATACTGATTTGATGTAGGAAGAAATTGAAAGTCATTACAACTTTTAGTGGGTTTTACTTTTATCCTACCATAGTTGATCTATTTCTCCTGTGAGAAAGGTTGGGGGTGGGAGGGAGACATTACCACCGGAACCCCTCTCCCTGATACACCCCCAGTCACAGCTGAGCAGATCACAGGAACACACTCCCGTACCTGGCATGCTCAAGGAGGTCCTGCGATGTGAACCTAGGACCCTTCCCACATGGGTCCTACCACTTGGCCCCAGGTTTTACTTCAGTAGCATCCTGACATCAACTTTTAAGCAATATTAAATAAGGCATTTTACTTGAATTTTCCTGAGGTGTGATTGTAGTTTCTCAAAATGTGAACGTGAATTGCTGTCGTTGCAGTGTCCCGTGCCTGCCTGTCGAGGGAGGTCATTTACTGCTCTCCACAGTTCCCCTCTGACAGTTACGATGGACTGGCAGTCGATCAAGTAAGCAGTTGGACTGTTAAAGAAAAGGCAGGTTCCAGGTCACTCACACAGCTGAGTAAATCTATAATTTTGCTGTATCATACTGTGATTCTTATCCGTACACAATGATAAACTATGAAATATGAAAAAATTTAATGAAATTCATGTATTGAAATGATAATTTTCTAATTTCAGAAAGGATTTGATATACAAGTATTCTGTCTTACTGTTACTGAGAAATAGTTCATTTTGTATCTGTTACATTATTCACTGAACTGGATATAGGCCATAGACAAAGCTATGTTATTTCTCCATAGTAAGCTATGACAGAAATACTATTGCTCAGAAATTTTCAGATAAAGTATTCTTTAGAAATGGTCATATTTGATGTTTTTACTCTCCAGGAGGCATTTTACTATAAGCTCTTTTGTTATTTTTAGTATCAATAGTTTATTTATTCCACGAGACAGAAACAGCACCCCTGAATGGTGCTGCGGTCCAGTTCTAGCCTCATTCAGCCCGGAATCATGGGCACTGGTGTGCCTGGCGTACTCAGGGAGGTTTCTAGATGCAAACTGGAACCTTCCTATGGGGGTCCGCCTCACAGAGCATCACCGTGTTACACTACTTCACCATTTTGTGCTCCCACTTAATTTCTGAAGGGTTTATTTATTTATTTATTACAAATCAGATAGTTTTCTTTGTGTTTTTTTATCCAATCATTTATTCCATTTTTTTTTTCTAGCCATAGGCCCATAACTCATCCCTAAATATCAAACTAATTTTTTTCCAGAGAATTATTTTATTTAACTTTATTTATTTTAGTTTGACCAGAGAGGGAGGAGGGGGAGGGGAGAGAGACAGACAGACAGAGAGATAAAGTGAGAAAGCAAGCCACTGGGTCCGGGACTTAAACCACAGTCGACCATGTGGGAGTCTAGCACCCTTAACACCATGCCACCTGCTGGCCCCCTCATCCCTAAATATAAAATAACGAGTACTTTTGAAGTCAGAGTGCTCTCCAGAAAACAGGAGATGGCCCTCAAAGCCTTAGAACCTTTTGTTAAGGTGCCTTGTTACTAAACCCTGGCTTAGTTTCCCTCCCTACTTTGGTAAGAACCAAGACAAACACAGGTAATAATTGTATACTATGCCAAAATCTTCACAAACATTTTATAGAAGAAGAAATAGTTAAACCTCTTGACTGTGGTCATGAGCCTTGTGCTTAATGGTCATGATTTTGAACCAGGTCTGTAGACCTTTCGTCATTGAGGGGGACGCAGTTTGAAGGCATCAGGGGTACTACAGAGTTCTCTGCAAAGAAGATCAGGGTGATTTAAACATTTGGATAAAAATCTCTTTGCTTCCAATTAGCAAACAAGAAAATAGGGTTGGATATTTTCATTGGATTTGAATGATGATCTTCTGATGGTAGGAAATCAAACTTAGGTTAGATGATTGAGAAGAGACTATTTAAATCCTTTTTGGGGGCCAGCTGGTGGTGTGGTATTTAAGGCAGCTGATCTCACATGGCTGACTCAGTAATTCAAGTCCTAGATTCAGTGGGTTGAAACATATGCCAGGCACTTGTGTGTGTATATGTCCTAAAATCTAGAGGAGAAGGAATTGTGGCATGTTTATCCCCCCCGGGAGGTGATTTCTCACTTTCTCTTTCTCCTGAGTTCATGTGCCCTATAGCAAAAACTAAGAGAGAGAAAGGAAGGAAGAAAGAAATCAAAATTCTTTTCTGGAATCCCTAAAAATAAGCTATAGTGTAAGTTTAATTTATTTTATATTTGTCATAGGATGCATGCGTTTGCCAGAGACAGAGAGAGTTGAGAGACACCCCACACACACACCCCCAGCGGCCATGCTGCAGTTTCTTGCCTTCTCCATTATTCTCTTGGGATTTTGAACATGCATACACACATGCCTGACTTGAGTTTCAAGCCACTACGTCCGGGACGGGAACCATGGTTGGTCATCAGTGGGTCCAGTGCCTGAACCACCACACTACCTGACTGGCCTGCTCAAGTTTATTTTTAAATGAGTTCATAATAAAACATTTTTAGCACAGTATTAGCTTAAGTAATTGTCTTATTCTATATCAAAGAATGTTTACAGAGTAGTCAGTGGTAAAACAGGTCACAGAGTGTTAATATTTTCCCAGTCTCCTCTGGGATTTTGGGCACATATGCACATGCACCATGTGATTTTCAAGCTACTGAGTCCAGGACTCAAAACAGTGGTTGGTGTTGTAGGAGTCCAGCGCTTTAGCCACCACGTCACCTGCTGACCTCAAATGTTTTTTCATATACTTTTTTTTTTTTTTTTGGAGAGGTTTTTGCTATAGAGCACGTGCTATCGTCAGAAAGACAGAGAGACAGAAAGCGAGAAATCACCCCCCGGGAGGGATGTCCTCGCCGCAACCCCTTCTCCACCATTCTCTTCTGAGGATCTTGGGCACACACGCACACGTGCCTGGAGTGAGTTTAAGACACCAGGTCCAGGACTCAAACCGCAGTCAACTACATGGGAGTCCAGTGACATAGCCATTATGCCAACTGCTGGTCCCTAAGGTGGTAGGATTTTTTACCCACCTGCTGTGGCACAGCAAGAACATCATACCCTTCAGGCTAGAAATTGCATGGCCAAGTGCAGATTTAGATCTTCAGGTTCACCTGAAAATGTGCTTGGTATGTGTGTGGGTACATAAGAGCCTGAGGAGTTGAAGGGCTGGGGAAAAAGAACCATAGCATGATAAGACTCTGTTCAAGGATGCTTTGTTGGGTAGGCATGTTTTTAAAAAAATTTTTTTTGAGAGACTTTTGCTATAGGATGCATGTGCCTGAGAGACAGAAAGTGAGAAATCACCGCCTGGGGGGATGGCCATGCAGCAATCCCTTCTCCTCTATTCTATTCTTGAGATCTTGGGCACACACGCACATGCACCTGGTGTGAGTTTAAAGTCTCCGGGTCTAGGAGTCAGACTGCAGTTGACTACGTGGGAGTCCAGCAACATAACCATAACAGCATTTATTGGTTCCACGCTTTTTAAAATTTAAGACAAGGGCTTTATGAATAAATTTTTGACTTGGGATTGGGCTTCTCAAATGCCAGATGAGGAGGCATTATTCTGGATTTCTGACATCTGTACTGGCTACCTTAGCTCTCTTCATGGTGAGGATGGGTCCATTTTCTTAGAACAGTGCTCTGGTTTTTGCCAAATGAGTTCTCATTTTTCTTCTACTTGCCCACCATCCAAAACCAATTCTCAACAACTGTTCCATGACTTGTCTTTCAGTTGATTATCCTGCATTCTTCTAGCATCCACTCCTGCTCTCTCTTCCTGCCACCTTCAGCTTGCAAGCTTCTTGAGAGTTCTGTTGAGAATGATGGCTCCCATTTTCTCATGTACCCTTGTAACTTTTGCCCCTGTATATTCTGGACTTCAGTTTTGTTTTATCCATCAGTGCTTTCCCATTTGCTGTTTCAAAATTTCATTAAGGGGCTAGATGTTGGCATAAGCAGTAAAATATGCTCCGGGAGACTGATTCACATGGGGAAGTTTCCTGGTTCAGGTCTGGAGACATCCCGTAGTACTCCAGACTCCACTCATACACTGGCTTGGGGTGGATCACAGCATGAAGACCCTGTTAAGGGTGCTGTCTCTTTCTCGCTTACGCACAGAAGAAATAAACTTAATATTTTTCCTATTAAAATCTTGTCTACTGATGATACCTCTATACGTCCAAAAACTTCTCTTTTAGTGACTCTTACTTTGGTGGGCATTAGAGGAAGCCTAGGCAAATGCATGTACTTATTCTACCATCCTGAACTTTTAAAAACTGATCTGCCCCTTTTCTAGCTTAGTACCATGTAAGTCTGAATAGTTAATATGTGGAAGAAACAACCCAAAGTAAGAATGTTTTAATAGCAAACTGTTTAACTTTTCAGAATCCAGGAGCTGATGTCTGATGATCAGCGTGAAGCAGGTCGGATTCCACGAACAATAGAATGTGAGCTTGTTCACGATCTTGTAGATAGCTGTGTCCCAGGAGACACAGTAACTATAACTGGAACTGTCAAAGTTTCAAATGCTGAAGAAGGTATGATAAAACTCTTTCCTTATTTTGATTGTCTCTCAATAATGATTTATTAGCATTCCTCTTTTCTTCTTTTAAGATACTTCTGAATCTGGGAACCAGCAGTTAGCGTAATGGCTATGTCGCTGGACTCCCACGTAGTCAACCGCGGTTTGCGTCCCGGACCCGGTGGCTTAAAACTCACGCCGGGCGCGTGTGCGTACGTGCCCAAGATCCCGAGAGGAGAATGGAGGAGAAGGGATTGAGGCGTGACCATCCCCCCTGGGGGGTGATTTCTCGCTTTCTGTCTCTATGTCTCTCTCTGTCTGTCTGGCGAGCGCACGCACCTTATAGCGAAAAAACCTCTCCAAAAAAAAAAAAAAAAAAAGATACTTATGAATCTCAGTTTAGGGAATTCCTTGTTGCTTGTGTAAGATTTTCCTTTAAAGTTAAGGTTTATTTGTCGCTCACTTTGACTTTTTATACATTCTAACTGAATCATTACAGGGAAAATGAAAATAGCAGTTATTGCATTTAATACTTTGAATTTACAGGTTCTCGAAATAAGAATGATAAGTGCATGTTCCTTTTGTACATCGAAGCAAATTCTGTTAGCAATAGCAAAGGACAGAAAACGAAGACTTCTGAGGATGGGTGTAAGCATGGAACGTTGATGGAGTTTTCACTTAAAGACTTTTATGCCATCCAAGAGATTCAAGCTGAAGAAAACCTGTTTAAGCTCATTGTCAAGTATGTATGAGCCTGTTGAAGTTTTATTACGTACATACATGTTGAAAATGGTTGGTAAAGAACAGTCGATGGGTCAAGTCCAGCTTACCACCCATTTTGCTATAGTCTATGAACTAAGAATAGTTTTTATGTACTTATTTTTTTAGATTTTTTGCCATAGGGTGTGTGTTCTTGATAGAGAAAGAGGAAAAGTAAGAAATCATCTCCAGGGGGACGGCCACGCCACATCCCTTCTCCATTCTCTTCTCAGGATTTTGAGTATGCATGCATACTTGCCCAGCTTGCTTTTTAGTCCACCTGGTCTGGGACTCATACCTTGGAGTCAACCATGCGAGATCCAGTGCCTTAACCATCACACCACCTGCTGGCCTGGTATATATGTATACATACATAGTGTTGTTTTGTTTTGTTTCTTTTAAGAGAAATTTTTGCTATAGGGCATGTGCCCTCGATGGAGACAGAAAGTGAAAAATCCCCCCCCGGGGGTATGGCCACAGTGCAATCCCTTCAACCCCATTCTCCTCTTGGGATCTTGGGCACACACACACGCCCAACATGGTGAGTCCAAGCTGCCAAGTCCGGGACTTGAACTGGTCAACTATGTGGGAGTCCAGCAACGTAACCATTACACCATCTGTGGTTCCCTAGGTTTTTATATTTTTTAATGGTTGAAAAAAGTCAAAAGGACACTACTTCATGAACACATGGAGTTATATGAAATTCAGAATTTAATGTTATAAATAAAGTTTTATTGGAATGTAGCAACACTTATTAATTTCCATGGGCTATTGTTTTGCTACAGTGCCAGAGTTGAGTAGTTGCAAGAGAGAACATATATATGGCTCACAGATAACTACCCTCTGGCCCTTTACAAATAAAGTTTGTAGATCTGTAGTGAAGGGACAGTGAATGCCAAAGCCATTTTTTTGAGTTGTATATAAAGTATTATTTACTTTTAAAGAGCAAGAAAGAGATTCAAATAGAAGTAATTTACATTTGGTATTTCTTTGTTTCTTTTTTTTTTTTTTTTTTTTAATTGTTAGAGGGCACTTGCACTTTCCAGAGATAGAAAAGAAGAAAGCACCCCTAAGGGAGTATGCTAATACTGCAGTCCCTTCTTCATTTTTCCATCTTGTCAGGATTTGGGTCATGTGTGCACAACTACCCTTTGTGTTTTCCAAGCCACCAGGCCAGTATTTGAACCATCTGTTAGCCTTGGGGGATCCAGCTTCCTTTACCACTTGGCCTCTGAGCTGGGCCATGATATTCTTTATTTCCACGTTGTTGCCATGCAGTAGAAAAGAAGCCAGCTAGAGGCATTTGTGTTTTAGTGGTTCAGAGCTTTTCTTTGAACTAATCTAAGTTAGAATACTGCTTTGCAGGAGCCAGCTGGTGGTGTGGTGGGTAAGGTAGCAGGATCCCACGTGGCTGACTGCACAGTTTGAATTCCAGACTTGGCAGCTTGAAACACATACTGGGTGTGTATGCATGCATGCCCACAATCATAAGAGGAGAATAGAGAAGAAAGAAGTTCATAGGGTATTCTTTCTCACTATTTCCCACCCCACACATGCTAGTGTGCTCTGTAACTAATTAAAAAAAAAAGAAAAGAAAAAAGAAAGAATCCTCCTTTGGCCTTATTTCCATTGTGATGTAGGACATGCCACTTAATTTCTCATTTTTGTCCTCTTAAATAGTAGTAGTAGGGGCTAGCCTGTGTCGTAGTGGATAAGGCGGCTGGGTCTCACGTGGCTGACTGCACTTGAGAAACACTCCTGGCATAAGCATGCCCAAAATCCTGAAAGGAGGTAGAACCAGAGAAGGGATTGAGGTGTGGCCATCCCCCCTGGGTAGTGCTTTCTCACTTTCTCTGTCTCTTCAGCAAGCACCTCTATCCTCTGGCAAAAAAAATTTTTTCATGGAATAATAAAATCACTGTAGAAGGTTGTTCTACTTTCTAGACAATTTTGGGGGGATACTTTTGAAGAAATAGAGGAAGACAACAGAGACTAAATGGATGTACTTTAGAGATGAAGAATAGAACATTTCGATATGCATTGAAAATTGGAACTTATCTTGGTTTCTGGGTTAGACAGGCTTTAGTCTCTAGGAGAATTTCCTGCTGCTATGGCTATGGAAGCCTTTTGGCCGACAGGTGCCTGTGCTTTATAGAAAGGCAGCAACCATTATGCAGGATCATGCTGAATAAAGTATTAAGGGGAGGTGGGCAAGCCTCCAGCTTCTGTGTTTAAATATATATATATATATTTTTTTTTTTCCTATAGGGCACATGTACTTGTGAGAGAGAGATTGGGATAAAGGTCCACATTTTATTACTGATTATATCTCTTCCCCCTCTCCATATTTGTTCCTTATTTCTGAAATTGATAAATGTGAATATACTTTTTTATGTCTACATTCTTATTTAATCTTACCCTTTAAACAGAACTGAAAAAAAGGAAATTTATCCCATAGATGTGGGAAGTTGGGGTTGTTGTAGAGTGCCACCTAATGAACGACCAGCAAAGCCAGATTAAGTTTAAAAGGAGTCTTTATTAGCTGATCAGCGACTACAGTCTGAGGCTCAGGGGAGAGGTGGGTGCTGAGAGTCAGAACTGTAGTCCTGACTGAAGTTGGAGTAGTCTTTTTATAGGCGGTCAATTATCAGGGATTTCTATGCAGGCAGTTACAGAAGCTGAATCAAGCAGGTTAATTATTTCTGAGGGGAGTGGGGTTTCCATGCAAGCAGTTACATTGTTAAACACAAGGGTTTTGGGCTAGTTAGCAAAGACAGTAGCAGGTACAGGATGTAGTCCTGGATTCGGTTTTAGCACTAGCTATTTTCCCACGGGAAGAGCAAGCAGGAATACAGAAGCAGACAGCCATGTTAGGGGAAGGGTACAAAATGGACAAACATTTGTTCATGTGCAAGATCCAATATGCAGCCTTCCACAGGATGACAAGGGAAGATTGGCCCAACACCAGTACCAAAACTGGAGCTGCAAGCTGACTAGGTTCTTATGTCATGCTCATGAAGAATTAGACATAGGCACAGAGAAAGGATAGTAAAGCAGTTTATTAAGAGAAGAAAGGAAGAATAGAGCTTCCAAACAGAGAGTGAGGCCCAGAAAATGGGTTGTCAAAGAGAAACTGAGGTGAGGTGTTTTTACCTGAGTCAGAGGGGCTTTGTTCAGGCTTGTTTTCAGGTGGGGCTTATGCATGTGTTTCCCATGGTGAGGGTCACATGCTAGATGGGTCTTGTTATTTTTTCCTAATTTTGGAGTGAATAGATAGAAGAAAAATCTTTGGGCCATAAAAACCATGATCTTTTTCTGGCAATATGTGGAGCCTGAAACAAAACCTTAATTCTTATTTTTGCTTTAGGTCATGCTGCTTAGGTTAATTGTTGAGTCATCTCTGCAAGCCATTTCTGTGAGCTGCTGCTGAGCTGTTATGTCTCCGTCTTAAAACTTAGCCATTTTGTGATTCCATTTTGGGTCTATACCCTAAGTATGTTTTTAGAGTTCTTGTCTCCTACCTTGCCATCTTAAAATATTATATACTAAGTTCACTCTTTAGATTCCTTTCAGTGTCTTGGCTACAGAGGTCTAAAGATGTCTATTTACATAAGATGCAATATAATCCTCTATCCTAAAGTGGAAAATCGAGTTTTTGGTTTGTTCTTTTGCTAGAGGGCATATGTACTTGCTGGAGTGAGACAGACAGGGAAAGTGAGAAATCACCCCCTCCCCCCCCGGAGGGATGACCATGCCACATTCTCTTCTCCTCCACTCTTGAGATTTTTGGGCACATACCCACACATGCCTGGTGTAATTTTGAAGTTGCTGGGTCCAGGACTTAAACCACCAAGTAGGCCATGTGGCATCTAGCACCTTAACGTCTGCACCACCTGCTGGCCTAATTATGGTGCACTTTAAAGGCTAGTTCTACGAGAGGTCTTCTGTATACTTGGTTACTTTAAGATGGTTTGAAAGTATCCTGTCTTCCTGACACAGGCACAGTTTTTAAAACATTCTTCCCTTTATAGATTAAGCAAGAATTTTTGAGAAATGTAGTTAGAATGAAATTTCTTAGTTGTTTGAGGGGATATGAATTATATGTCCTCTTTTTGGCGCTAAATAAAGCAAGTTAAGCAAACGTAAAGTAGATCTTCTAATGGACCCATGAAGTGTGAGAATTTATAAATTGTATTCTATTTTTCAGCTCACTTTGCCCTGTCATTTTTGGTCATGAAGTAAGTATTTCACTTCATTTTCACTGTTACATAAAGTCCTTACCAAAAAATAGCTAATGTCTGTTCTCTTTAAATGATTGATGTGGAAAGCAGCTGCAGCCCTTATAAGGAAAAGCTGCCTGCCAATTATAGTTAATAGAAATTAGCTTCTTTTAAGTGACTGGAAACTAAGCAGAAACTAACAAATAATTCTTATTTAGCAGAATGAATTTATGTCTTGCATGGTATATCTTTATTTAGTCATTTCTAAATACCTCTGCTTTTATATGCTTTCAAGTTCTTGCTTTTTAATCACTTATGTTACAAAACTTTATGTATTCATACTTAATCTTCCTGGAAGAAGATTAAAGTTTTATCGTGCTTTAAAAAAAATATCCCCAAATTAATGTTGTAAACACAAAAGGAAGAACACTCCTTGTGCTGGCCATCTCTATGTTTTTCTCACTTTTGTTTCTTTTTTTTCCCACTCTTTTTTCACACTTGAGCTTGTTAAAGCAGGTTTGGCACTAGCACTCTTTGGAGGAAGCCAAAAATATGCAGATGACAAAAACAGAATTCCAATTCGAGGAGACCCACACGTCCTTGTGGTTGGAGATCCAGGCT